GAGAGTGAGAGTGAGAGTGAGAGTGAGAGTGAGAGTGAGAGTGAGAGCGAGTGAGAGTGAGAGTGAGAGTGAGAGTGAGTGAGGGTGAGTGTGAGTGAGAGTGATGAGTGAGAGTGAGAGTGAGTGTGGGTGAGAGTGAGAGTGAGAGTGAGAGTGAGCGTGAGCGTGAGCGTGAGAGTGAGAGTGAGAGTGAGAGTGAGAGTGAGAGTGAGAGTGAGCGTGAGCGTGAGCGTGAGCGTGAGCGTGAGAGTGAGAGTGAGAGTGAGAGTGAGTGTGAGTGTGAGTGTGAGTGTGAGTGTGGTGAGTGTGAGTGTGAGTGTGAGTGACAGTGAGAGTGAGAGTGAGAGTGTGAGTGTGAGTGAGAGTGATGAGTGAGAGTGAGAGTGAGTGTGAGTGAGAGTGAGTGTGAGTGAGAGTGATGAGTGCGAGTGAGAGTGAGAGTGTGAGTGAGAGTGAGTGTGGGTGAGAGTGAGAGCGTGAGGGAGTGTGAGGGAGTGTGAGTGAGAGTGAGAGTGAGTGTGAGTGAGAGTGAGTGAGTGTGAGTGAGAGTGAGGCAGTGTGAGTGCGAGTGAGAGTGAGTGTGGGGTGAGAGTGGGGAGTGCGAGTACTGCGCCTCTGCACTTCGATGTTGACCAAGTGCTGCACCTGCCACGAAATCTGCACTTCGAGGTTTACAAACTGCTGTACCCGCCACGAAATCTGCGCTTTGAGGTTCACCAAGTGCTGCACCTGCCACGAAATCTGCACATCGAGGATCACCAAGTGCTGCGCCTGCCACGAAATCTGTACTTCGAGGTTCACCAAGTGCTGTACCTGCCACGAAATCTACACTTCGAGGTTCACCAACTGCTGTGCCTGCCACGAAATCTGTACTTCGAGGTTCACCAAGTGCTGCACCTGCCACGAAATCTGCACTTCGAGGTTCACCAAACGCTGCACTTGCCACGAGATCTGTACCTCGAGGTTCACCAAGTGCTGCGCCTGCCACGAAATCTGGACTTCGAGGGTCACAGAGTGCTGCTCCACCCACGAAATCTGCAAACGAGCCACATGTCCAAAAGTCACGATTCACTGCACCTGTCACGAAATCTGAGCTCCTCGACGATCACCACCACGTCCAAAGTGCTGCGCCTGCCACGAAAATTGCATTTCGAAGCAAGACACCTCCGATCCCTTGCACCTGTCACGAAAAGTCGACTTTGGAGCACCAAAACACGAGGTTCCTCTTGCGCCTGCCACGAAAAGTGACCACCATGTGCGGATCCTGGTGTGAGAACCTGTGACAAGATACCATTAGCATGAAGAATGCTAATGAATCTCAAGATTGAGCACTGCACCTACTTTGAACTGCCGCCAATCTACTCCTTCCCTGTAAAGCCTCCATTGTGTCAGTATATAGTCGTCGTCACCAGTGTTTTTCTGTCATCCATTCCCCCAAAGACCCCGGGTAAAAAGGATATAAAAAGGGAAACAGACTGTGGTTGGGGGCCCTATTCCAATCCACCTTCGGCACTCGAAGTCAGACGCCCGAATCGATTAGCACCCTCGGACCACCGAGCCACACAAGTTGCGGGCGTCCAGCTCGGACAGCACGGCCGCTTCCAGGGCGCGGGAGCCTGGCGCAACCACGAACCACACGAACCTGACTCGAACCGCGAATGACCAAACCAACCAAACGCCTTCACCAGGGCCGTTCCATCTCTTCCACCGCAATGCACCCGTTCCAACTCCCGGCGTCGCACCCAGGAACGGGTCTGACCCGACCTGGCGACCGGTTCGGGTGCCCTGCCTCGATCGGTGTCGATGACACGAACGGTCCACTTGTTCTCCTCTCCTGGTCGTTGAGAGGTCGATCCCGGGAGCCCCCGGTGGAGAGGACCTGTCCACCTGTCAGAACACACGATGCTGATCGGGCCCAAACAAATTGCATGGTTTTAACCCACATCAACGTCTTTCGAACACGGGGCCACCGTCTTAAGGCGCTGGCCCAAATGACTTCAACGTACACGAGTCGTGATGGCCGTCTCAGATGCACACACAAACACATATTCAACAAGATCGGCCCAACCAAACACTCTGCTATCATCCGGCACACTAGCAAACCCACTATCCCATTGATGAGCAAACAAAACTTGATAGAATCCACTCTGGACGATGATGGCACTCTGGATTTTTGGGAGGGGGCATCCGACAACTCTGCACAAATATCAGTGGCGCATTCGTTGAGTCTAACCAAGTATAAAATTACCATTGGTCAGTCGCTGGGCACTGTTAACTTGCTTTCCTCCTTTGAGTCTTTGAAGTCTTTCCCACTGCTCCACGCCTGGTTCGGTTTCGCGTGGGCCTTCCAGGAAACACGTCGATTGCGCATCCCAACAAGAGGTGTCCTCTGCTCAGCTCGACTGAAAAAGGTTCCTATTCAGGGTTTTTCTCCTGCAAAAAACACACACTCAAGATAATGCACACTGACCGCAGTTCGCCACACGCCAACCTAAATGAAAACCTAGAAAGACAGGTGCAAGTCGGTCAAGCTCAGTAGCACTTTACTGCAGAGCCGAAACCAAGAGAGAAAGCTTGTTCTAGTTAAAAGCAGGGCCCAGTAGGAAGTGAAAGGTAAAACGCAGGTACGCTGGGATGATCAGTCCCAGTATCACCAGGAAATCGAGAGTGTCTTCGTTGGCTAAAATCTAAGGACTCCCTGTGACTCCAAGGGCTTCACACACACACACAATTAAGAAGTGCGTACTGAACTGAATGCCACATGCCACATGCCCAACAGGTGAGAGGTAAGTAAGGCAGTTTGAAATACTCAAGCCTCAAAGAAATGGAGTGGAGTCCAACCACGAAAGTTCAGAAGCTGAGTCGCCAATGCACTAGCCCTTTACTGCACTAGACGATTACTGCAAAACAAAGAATGAGACAGCTTTTGCCTTATGTGCCTTATGTAGGTTCATCTCAGGTACAGGAAGGTGATCAGCCTTTCCTTCCCATCCAAGACCGTAGCTTCGTTGCACACGGTCGGTCATGGATGCCGTGTGCCCCTGCTTCAAAACAAGAAATTCAACGGAATCCCAGTGACTTGGTCCAAGGGTTTCACACACACTGGGGAATCACACACACCCGTCGGTCAAAAGGGTGACGTGGGGAAGACATGCCTGCTCTTCCTAGACCCTAGAAGTCCAAAGACTATTTTTGGCACCACAAGTAAAGGAAATTCCTTTTCGGAACACCTCAAGAGCCTTTTTCATGGTCTTAGACTCCCAGGGTAGATGTACCCCTGCCCCTCCTCCCCCTTAACTGCGCATAGCGCATGTCATAGGGGAACGCGATAATACTTCAGACACGACCTACTCTACGCCTCATGGAGATGGGCGATGGCTTGAATTATATGGAAGAATCTGGCCAGAACGGGTCCCTGGATTGGCCCAGTTCCCTTGCCATGTTGTCCTGAACTGCTTGCCATGGTGCTTGCCATAGATGGACAGTTACTCAATAGCCAATGTAGACTCTTGATGTAATAAACCCTTCAAGAAGAGGTGTTTCAATCAAAATATCAAGTTATCATGGAAAATCTGTCCAACCACCACGTCCGACGACCTGACGCATGGGTTTTTATCCGGGCAACGACGCCTGCAGCCTCTCCGTCTGGGCTGGGGTCCTGGGAACGGTCGAGCAAAAGGGGAAGCCATATGGTTCTCATTTGAGACCGGTCAAGGCTTGATTTCTGCACCCCAAACTTGCAAAGTTGAATAGCTCTTGCATCGAAATGACCTATCCCCAGTCGACTGGTAGGACAACTGGGTCCGGGCGACTGGCGATTTATACCCCGGGCCCGGTGTGTTGTGGTGATTCATTGCGTCATTGTTTGTTGACTAGCGGGAAGACTACATAAGTCTGGCCACTGGAGGGAACACTAGGTCGGGCCGCTTGCCGGATATGCTGTGATTATGTTGGGTTGTGTTGTCAGTGTCGTGGTTTGTTGTCTGTTGTTGTGTTTGTCATTGCACTGGCTCACAACGCGCCAGCAGACTTCACAATTCTCTGAAGATTACAGTCGTGACCCCCAAAAGGTACGCTACTTTGGCATGGCTCCTTCCTGCTCGAAATTGATCCCCGGGCGTCGCACAAAAGATACGCTAGGTTGGAATGGCTCTAAATTGGAGCTTCGAGTGGCCCACAATGCCCCTAAGATTTACCGGTGGCTTACAAAAGGTATTCTGCGTTGGAATGGACCCTACCTCCTCCAAATTTTACCCTCGGGTGGCCCACAAGGTGAACTACCTTGTAATGGCTCCTTCTAAGTTTTCCTGGTCTGGCCCACAAAGGGTATGCTACGTTGGAAGGGCTCTCAAGATGTTACCCTTTGGCGGCCCACAAATGGTATGTTACGTTGGAATGGCCTCTCTGAATCTTACCCTCCTCCTCTAAGTTTTTCTTTCGAGTGGCCCACAACAGGCATGGCTCCTGCGTGGCTCATCCTGCACACCATAAACCAGCATGTCTGACACGCCAATGTCCGATACCACACCAATGCCCTACGCTAGGGAGGCCACGGATTCGGAAACTAGGGAGGGCGCGGATTCGGAAACTAGGACCTAGAGAACACGGATTCCCACTGTTTGCAACTTCAATGGAGCATCGTGCACCCCAGACCGTTTTCGACCCTCACCCGTGCCCACTGTTTGCAACTCGAAAGGAACGTCAACACCACACCACACCACACCACGCAACCCATGCCCACTGTTTGCAACTTCAAAGGAACGTCAACCCAACCCTGTACAGTAGTTTCTAAATCTGGACAATTTCTGAATGGGGCCACCCTGTAGTTGCTGAATCGGAATATACCCACGCTTCTGAATCGGAGCTAGTTTCTGAATCGTCTTCTGTCCCACGTCCTCCCATCCCGCCTCAAAAGCATCCTCCACAGTCGCAGAGGCCAAGTCCAAACGGGACTTCCAGGTATCCAAGGCCTTCTCAAGGGCCTCAGCTCAGCAGAGCAGCACTTCGGCCCGAGTTCTATTTTTGCAGGTGAATTGGGCTCCGCCAACACCTGCGGCGGATTCAGGCCCCTTTCCAGGGTCTGGCATTGGTTTTCCAGCTTCAAAGGAATCGATCAACTCGACATCTCCACCCAAAAGTGAGGCTTCCTTAACAGATTTGAGACGCCGGTCGACGGTCATCACGAGTCTCTTTCCTTGACCCGAAGAAACCGGTCATCACATGTCATGTGTCATCGTCTTCCAAACAGACCGGTCCAATCACTCCCAAAAGCCCCTCCCAGTGTAGCACTGCACTGAGAGGAGGTCGGGACGCACCCATCTGCCCCGACCATTTTCCCCTCTGTTGTTCCCGAGGATGGTCTGGACAATGTGTTCCAGACCATGAGGGGCTCCGAAGGACTTGCATTGAGACTGCAAGTGTAGATGGCTTCTGAAAATGAGGCTGACTGGAACCACGAGCCTGGCCTCGGTCTCCTGGTGAGACTCCGTCCAAGACCACCGTGAGCTGGATCTCCCATTCATCCTGGAGAGACGCCCGACACACGCAGGCGGGGGAGGCAGGCTTGAGGGGAGGCTGAGATCCTCAGGTATATAGAAGCATCCAGACCGGAGAGGGCGATGTCGGCTCCAGGATGCAAAAGGTCCAAAAGAAAGAAAGGTTGGTGTTTGTGGATAGAATCTCTCTTGGAATATATATTCTGCATGGGATGACATGTCCTTGGGTCAAATCTCAACCTTCCAAAAAAAATCAGTTCTGCGCAGGATGTTTCACTCCGCCACAAGCATCTTAGATGAGGATCATGATAACACAAATCCCTCGAGCAGTCTTGGCTTACAGTAGGGTGTCCAATAAATAATGCGTTGTGCTTTGCCAATTGCAAACAATGTGCGGAATGGATACGTTAAGAGACTGTTCACCGATGCCAGGATTTTGGGGTGCTGAGTCTGGAACATCAAGATGCAAGCCACTCGTCAGAAATTCTTTACACTCGGGAGCATCTCAACACCAGAAAGTGAGCCTGAAAAGCTGCAAAACGCAAGCCAGCGCTTTTTGTCAACGAGTAAAGCCAGCTACAATTCTGTTGCCAGGTATCGCACTTACACTTCAATTTTCCTACCTGGGTCCGCGCGCGCGCGCCTTGCTGGCTCCCGGCTGCCCCAGATCTAGGCGCGCGCGCGCGCGCGGACCCAGGGCAGCTACAAGGCAGTTGCCAGGTATACCCAGGGTAGCTACAATTCAGTTGCCAAGTATAGCACTTCAAGCAATCGAAGACAATTGCATTTCTTCAAGCCACAAAAAAGCACCTCCAAAACCTTGCTTCCGTGCACCCCTACACGGTATAGATACCCAGGGTAGCTACAATTCAGTTACCAGGTATAGTACTTCGAGTTCCCTTTCCGTCAGCCGCTCGATAACCTCTACACACGTGCAGCAATCCACAGCTTTGAAGTCTCATTCGTGTTTTGAACTTATGTGGAAAAAGGTATAGCAACATGGCACTTATACGGACCCAGGGTAGCTACAACTCAGTTGCCAGGTATAGCACTTCAATTTCCCTTTCCGTTAGCCGCTAGATAGCCTTGAGAAATGTGCAGCAATCCACGGACTTGAAGACTCATTAGTGATGTGACCTTATATCGGTGTGGTGTGTAAGAAGGTTATGCATTCACATCTGCACGAAGCTACAACACATCGGCCTCTGTAAAACTACACCTTACCATTCAGATGATGCAAATGGTGCAAATTGCATTTCTTGCATCACCACCCCCTCAAAAATCACCTCCAACACAACCTCAAAAACCTTACTTCCGCACACCCCTCTCCCCCACCTAATTTCGAGTTTACGTGGTACTTACTCAGCTGGCGCCTTCTACGAAGGCTGGCTTTCGTAACCAAACGTTCAAAAAAAAAAAACTATATAAAAATAAACATCCCGTCCCCCCCATCGCTCCCGGGGTGCAGCTGATCTTTGATCCACTGCGGGATCTTCTCTGGAAGGAACAAGTTCTCCAATGAGATCCCTGGCGGAGCGTGGAACCGCTCGATCTGGCGGTCCACCAGAATGGAGTCGGTCGTCCTAAATACGGAACCATGCCATCCACGGTCCACCATGTAGTGTGTTCGGAAAAGAGTGCAGACTTCCGAAGTCCGTCCAGACTTACGAAGTCGATTCAGATTTCCGAAGTCGGTCCTCTGCTGAAGTCCGGTTTGGGTGAGGTTTTGATCAGTTTTTGCAGGGCGGAGGCCCCAACACTTGGATCAGAGCGAGTTTCTTTCGACTCCTACGACCAGGAGTCAGTTGGGTGGATTGGGGGCCCACTCCAGAGAATCCTCTCCATGAGACACCCGATGCAACTGCTGGTTTTCTGTTCATCATCTTCTTGGTTCATGCCTCGACCTCAACAAGGCATGAACATGCCATGTCCCATTCCACCTCCAAATCTTCCTGGCAGAATGGGAGGCTTCGTTCGCGTCTGGGAGGCTTCGTCCCTCGACACCCCACCGGAACAACCCCATCTCGTCTCACCTGCTAAGGCATCTTCAAGGTGCCGTTCCTGTCGCTACACTCCGGTGCGACCGATTGGTCGACCGAGCAGTCGAAACCGGAGCTGCTTGTCAGACCAGGCCGCGCGGACGAGAAGGGCTCTGGGACTTGGACAAAACAAAAAAATACCTTACTGCCTATAAAACAACCAGACAACCAGCGGAAATGTCCAGGATCCGAAAAAGCTTGGTGGGCGCCAATCGTTTCTCCGCGTCGTTGGCCCCCCGCGCTCCTCTGTGGCCACAGGTAGATCGAAGGTCTCGCCCCACTCGGGGTCCAAGTGCCTGACCTTCACGCTACTCACCTGGCGCCGTCCGGGGCAGTCTGGTGGTCCGGTCGGTTCGGCGATTTCGCCATGAAGAGCGGGAAGGGGCAGAAGCAGAAGCAGACTCGAAAACCCCAAAATAACATGCACTAGGTCACTAACCTATCCTAAACCTTCCTGTTAGGGGTGTCCTTGACATAGGGAGGCAGTCGATTGGTGACCCTTAGTATAAGGCCAAGGTCGTGGTGATCATTTGCTTTGTCGGTGGTCCTCTGTATAGTTCCGCTCTTGCTCGTTCCGCGTGACACGCGTTCCCATGATCCAGGATTGAAATCGCACTCTCACGAGCAGTGCGAAGGGAGAAAAAAGAAACACGTGCCAAGGGCACCCAGTCCCAGCCACCCAATCACGCTCCCGGAAGACCCTCGTGTCCAGCTCGCGGGTTTGGAGGCTTGGGGTGGACCAAGCCGGTTCTGCAATCGACGCTACTGCACATGACGTAGTGCACATGAAAATGTGGATATCCCTGAAAGTGAGAGACTATGAAAAGAATATTGTCTTTAGGGGACCTGAAAGATAAACGCTACTACGCAAATTCATATTTACTTGAGAGTCAAAGACTACAAAGAAAATCGTCTTTAGGGGACCTGAAGAGGGAACTCCTTTTACTTTAGTCACTAGTCGGTCAAAATATAGTCCTTGGACTCCTAGGTACCCATGTTCTTCCTCAACGAACAGACCAATATATCAATACATTGTACACTGTTTACATCCGTGACATTGACCACCCCTCATGTGAAGGTCTTCTTGTCCAAAACTGAGACCAAATGCCCAAATGATTCGAGAGTCATGTTGACATGTTCTCTATTTTAGGTGTCACCAGACCTCTGGCCTCAATCAAGTCTGTGAACTCCCACCAAATCCCTATGCCCTATGCCCTTGGCGACCCACCCGACCAATCCATGTTCCCAAGAGCCCACCGCACCTGGCGCAGGCACAAGAGCCCGTGCTCATCCTCCGCGCAGGCGGTGATCTCGCACATGGGATCGGAGGTGGTCCTGACCGGATGTGTCGATTAGGAAAGGCCAGGAATGTCAGAAACTATGAATTTGTAGATGAACTCCCAGGAGAGAAGCACAAAACAGCAAGCCCAATGGCGCCGAGTAGGTCAGCACCCGAACGAGGCGGAAAGTGAAGCGTCTGTCTCGCTCGCCCCTCCTGAGCTGCATCTTGTCTTGCCGCGGGAGATGTTGGGCTCGAATTAGGTGAACTCGCCAAGCCCCTGGCCGAGGCATCACTGCGCCAGCACCAGTGAAGGAGGGATAGTAATTAGTTGAATCTTGAAACGGGTAGGTAGGTGCTTCATTTAGGATGGCAATTGGATGAAATTAATGTAATTGGTCAGCTGGATCCAGCTAGTGCGCCATCGGGCCAGCGGGCCACTTGTGGAAAAGCAGCTTGCGGCTTGCGCTTTCAAACCGTCGCGCTTGAACAAACGATCCCAGTCTTCCCTCTCTCAGGTCCTGAATCGATCTGAAGAGCCACCTCTACTTCCCATCCCCCCGCCTTTCAGGCGCGAGGGCTGTGGAAAAGCTCTCCAGGTGATGGAGTAGGTCAGGGTCGCTGCCCCACGCCAGTAGTCCCCAACCACATGGTTGCGATCCTTCCAAGGCGCGAGGTTGCCAGAAAGGGAAAGTCTCCAGGGTGTTCTGCCAAGTGCCTTCTTCCTGTAACGTTCTTCCCAAAAGAACCACGCAAACGCCCAAGACAAAAAAAAAGACCTGAAAACCCTGCGCCCATCTGGGGTGGCACCTTCATCTTCCTCTTCCCGCCTTGGAGCTCAACTCCGCACAGACCTCTCCAGAGGTCTCCTCCACCGGCACCGAGAGCCGACCGATGAAGTCATTCCTCAGTTTGGTGAACAGCGAAGGTCATGTCGTCCTTTTGGAAAACGACAGCGGCCCAAAAGCTGCGGGAGGGGGGGTTGGACACACTTGGGTTTCTGGGAAGAGCAAGTCTGGCAGTCCTCTTGCGGATCAGCAGGGGTTCCATCGAGTTCCCCAAGCCAGCGGGGGTCCAAGCTCGTTCGGTCCCGGTCCCAGTCGTTTGGTCTCGGAACAGGTGGAGCCCAGGAGCTCGGACATGGAGTCGAAGTCGCAGACCTTCGGACTGGTGGACCACCCCACCGGGACGGCCTGGCCCAGCCTCGCCCCGGTGGGGACTCCCCAAAGCTAGTGGAACCGAGTCAAGTTGAGACGGATGCGATGCGGATCTGAGATCCGTCTCCATGGGCGATGGAGATGATGGAGTCCAAAAATGGTCCCAAATGATACCCCTAAGAGTCCGGTGTCATTTCTCCTTTGACCCTTGTCAGGTGGCGAAAGACGAGCCATGACGACAGGTCCAAACTTCTGGCAACCGTTCGGGAAACACACACGCACACACCGACGACCCTCGACGGAGGCGCCCCGCCTTGAAGGTCAGCAAGGACCACTTGCGACAGCTGAAGCGATGGTGATATGCCCTCGCTGCCTCCCAGGCCAGCCGATCGATGCCACCTCGACACGCTTGGGGCAATCGAAATCCGAACATCCCGTGTTGAACGACCCCGGTTTGGCACTACCTACAGATGGGGGTCGAAGGGTCCATAGGACTGTTCTGGTCATTCAGAGCCTCCAACATCTTTCTGTTCGAGCTTGATCTCTAGATTCCAGACCCTCAAAGGGTTACATAACCTTCACCACCTGGTCAAGAGAGTGTCTAACAGCAACACCCCGGCCCGTAAAAAACCGGCTTCCTGACTCCACCATCCGAGCATATCCGAGCGTCCCATGTAATAACGCCAGAACTCGATCCGGTCCAGCTGATCCTTTTCGCTCAGCTGCATGTGCCTGAGGGGACTGTGCAGGACTGTCATGGGGCTCAGCCTGGCAACCGAGAGTTTCTAAAGGTTTGGCAACCTAACAACGACATTTCCCATAAAAAAGAGATAAGGCTCCACTTAGCCAACCGAATCCTGCTGCGCGCGACCTTCCAGGGTCAGAACCTCTTGCTGTTGCTAACACTGTTGTACTCCCAACAAAAGGAATGAAGCTCCTGCTCTTGGGTTGAAGGACCAAAGCCTGCATCACATGCGCATGTCATGGCTACACCCGTCCCATGCAAGGATTGGGCCGCATCCAAGAATATCTTTCCAGTATATAATTATCTGTCTCGGTGATGCTGTCAAAAAAAATCCGACCCGCAAACACCAAAGCAGACACACCAAAGAAAACACACCAACCCTTAGACCAATCACACCAACCCGTTAGACGCTGGCTCTTGTGCCCGCATCTAAGCGTTTTTTGGTTGCCATCCTTCTTTCATCCGGCGCTCGGAGACACTAGATGTAGGCAAATCTAGCTGGGGAGCTGGATGCATCATGTTAAATAGCTTCTTGTGACTCGTCGGGCTCCCTCCCTCCCACCGTTCCGAACGCGATGGCCACCCACCGTTCCTCGCGTTCTGCCCACACCCGAGGCACTTTTGCATGGTGTTCAGCTCCGATCGTCCCCAATCGAAGATACACACCACCGTGGACTTCCGCACCTCCTGGAGCCACCGAGCCACCGCGCTCGCAGAGTTCGCCGAGAACGAGCCATGACGGCGGACGGTGGGGGCCTGGATCAACGCACCTCTGCGCACCTGCTCTCATGCATGACTTTGCTTTGTTTTGTGAAAATCACACGACATCACCCAGTTGCGCGACTTCTTGTCCATGGTTCCAAAGGCAAAAGTACTGGGTCTTCTCCAAGAAACTCTTTAGGTTAAGAAGGTGCCCAGGGTGCATTGTTTTGCCATACTTTGCAGCTCTTCCAACAAACCTTCTGCCCTGGGCGTAGATGGCTCGTGAGATGGCTCGTCTGACCCGAACGTCGGTGTTCCCACCGTCGGTGCTCCCAGCTCCTCCTCTCCGTGCTCTCGCTTCGGCACATGGCCAGCGTCAAAGCCCAAACCCACCGAGCTTCCGATCCTCCACACCCGTTGGGTCGAGAGGGGAAGAAACGACGACAGACGTCGTTTCGTACCTCTGATTGGTTGAAGGGAACATCTAGGACCTAGGACACCATGCTTTTCACCCCCCAAAACTCTGGGTTTCCGGTCGATCTAGGAATGGTTCGGAACCTCGCTCCAGCGTTGTTCCTATCACCTATTGCATGCGGATCATGCGATTCGTCGATTTGGGGGTGCCCAAAAAAGGACCATCTCTTTCTCCTGTGCTCTTCGGGGTTGTGGTCCTCGCTGCGCGGGGACATCCTCGTTTCTCCGGACTCGCGGTGAACAACGCGACCACGACGCGACCAGTCTCTGAATCAACTTCTGGTTGGGTGAAAAGCCCTGCCAAGAGCAGGTCGGACTCCCCAATTCTCCCGACCTTCGCCGGCGCCACTGAGGGAGGTCTTTAGAAGCAGGAACCCCCCCACAAAAAGAGCTTCACGTCCATGTTGGATCCCCCCGATGAAGTCCAAAGACTATATAGTGGCGAGATTCTATATTTCGACCAACTTTTTCCCAAAAAATTCAACAACGGACTTCTTTTCTGATCCTTCCCACTAGTTTTCCACACACAATGTCCACAGACATGTCCACTTCACCCATCCCACCGCCTCCGCACGTCACTGTTCCCCCCGGGCTCCCCGGCCACTTCTGCGGCACCGGCGATCGCCGGCAGGCCACCGCGAGGCCGTAGAGCCCCCGCACCGCCTGCGGCGAGCTGAAACAATTGCGTCAAAGCTGGTTCGAGCTGGTTGACCTGCAAGCTGAACACCTCAATCGTTCTTTCTGAGGGCTTTGTCACCAAAGTTGATGAAACCTGCAGAACCTGTAGATTTTTCCGAAGCAACTCCATGGTGCTCTCATGCCATGCTTATGCCATGCTTCTAATGTCCTCTCCAAACCCAGCGCCCACGAACCCAGTGACCCCTGAGTCGACGTTCGACTCGCGCCTCATGGCCGACCACTTCGGCCAGCTCCGTGGTGCAGAGCCGGCCCGGAAGTTCGTGATCTTCCACGTCGAGCCTGGGAGTTCTGCAAGCGCGGGGCCACGGAGCGCGGACGGCGAACAAGAGAGGAACAGAAGGATTCGGAGGCTGATGAACCTGTCGGACACTTCCCCCGGCAGCCGATTGACCATCTGGGGGCTCCCCTGTCCGTGCGAGAGGTGGGGGAGTGTGGTCTCGTGTGCGCACCAGAGGAGTTTGATTCTTTCACAAAGGTCTCATTATCCGCACCGGAGAGCATTGCACGAGGCACGTGCTGTGATGTTGAGGGTGGAATATTCCCAAGACTCCCGCTGCGGTCAGCGGGAATCTGTAACATTGGTGATTTTATTATACACATTCTCTCTAACAAGGCCATTCCTGCCAACACCCCGCCTTGTGCAGGACTCTTGTGGCCAATATAAATAAATAAATAAACAAATAAATAAATAAATAAATACATCTGCTCATCATTCCAGTCCTGGCCATGCCCGCACCCCACCAAAAACTAGAAAACTACGTCCAAGGGTCGGTTCCTGGTGAAGATCCAGCCAGTGGAGCAGCATCCTTGGAGCTCAGAGCTACACCAGCTAGGGGCACCTGGGGACTGTGAGGCCAGGTGCTATCGAAAAGTGCCTGCTCCCACTAGAAGCTTCAAAACAATCGTGGTTTGAGCCTGGAAGACTCAGTGACACCCAAACTGTGTATGTCTTAGGCTTCAAAACAAGAAGTCGGGTCTCAAGATGTTGGAGTTCTATCTTCACTATGCACAGCCAAATGTAGCCGGTCGACTGTTATGATGAGGTTCCACGTCCCTCCAACATCATGCAGAAAAGCAAATCCTCACCTTTCAAGCCCGAAATCGGCTTGCAGCCACCCTGGCCAATTTTGGGCCCCGGTCATTGCTGTCGTGGACGACATCGCTTGATTCAGGGCTCCACGACTGACTCAGGGGAACGTAATATGACTCCACTGTGACTTATATAGGATTTGGGGAGACCTACAAGATCCTACCCAATCCTAACAACAAGGATCAACAAGGGAACCAAAATAGAAAGGGAGGCAGCTGGGGAATCATCCAAAGGAGTCCGTTCAAAAATCGTGCTCCCGAGCAGCTCCACGGCGGGCATCCGCTGCAGCATCACACGCAAGGCCTCAAAGGATCGCACGTTGCGAAAGGATGCGAAGACCATTAGTTCCACAAATCCTTACACCTCAAATGTAGACTGATAAATAGATCCCCCCATTTGGATGCACGAACTTGCGGACGATCCGCGACGCGCGCCCACCCACCCCCTTGCCAGGTTGTCTGGCGGGATACCAACTGTCCTATCCTACCCTCCAACTCGGTCGACGCACCTGGTTTTCCTGGGCAAAGCGTCGGTAGCTTGAGCCACCGTGTGTGGCGAAGAAAGGTAGGATGGTGTTTGATCAACTGCTCAAATGGTATCCATAGGATGATTCTCACAGGGGAGGTTTCATTCCATCCACGAGTTTGACTTCTTTACAAAGCCTTTGAGCCGTCTCCAGGTCCGCCAGGCCGCCTTGTGCGCCATCTTCGCATTCCCCGACATGCCCAGATCCAGCAGCGGGTCCATGGACTCCAGCGCGGGCGGCCGCCCATCAAAGCCCTGGTGGCGGGGCGGCACGGCGAAAATCGGGATGCGCGGCCGGCGACGGAGCTGACGAAGCGATAGCGGATCCAAAAGATCTGCCTTGCCGCTGAGAGAGCTTAGCTTTCTGAGGGCTCCTGGCATTGCTACTAGGAGCAAGGACGCTACTAGGAGCTAGTTGCTCCTAGTAGCAATGCCAGGAGCCCCTAGTAGCCTCCTTGTTCCTAGTAGCGATGCCTTTTGTTCATAGTAGCGATGCCACCGCTGAGAGAGCTTAGCGTTCACATCAAATGATCAAATGCTGCGAGAGATCCCCATGCGTCTCGTGTGTCGAGCGAACCCTACCTGCGGGCCTGCGGGGCCCAGCTCTACCTCTTCGAAAAATGGTCTACGGTCTACCCTCTTCTGCTCTTCAATCTACTCATATATCTACTCCAAACTCAGTACGGCTCAGTACCCAAGCATCCGCGAAACCACTGCAGGACCGGTCAGCGAAACACCAAGATTCTCCAACACCGAGCCACTTTTCCCTTCACCTTCCTTCCCAGTCCAAAGGACCAAAGACTAAGAAGGACCAAAGGGAAGCTGCTCTGCCCCCCAAAAAAGAACAAAAGCCCACAACACCCAAAGCCCATCCAAACTCCAACCTCTACCGACTCCCCTACTCTGTGCTCCGTCTCCACCCTTCCTCTAAGCGAAAGCCCTCGCAGCTGCTATTGGTGATGCCATCCACCAGACTTTGCCGCAAGGCGGCCGCGCGGCTCTTGCCCTGCCACCCAACCTGCCCAACTCGCGGAGCGCGTCCGAGCCGTGAGGCCGGTCTTAGCCCGGAAGTAGGAAGAACAAAACACCTGGACAGGTCCTCCATGTCCCCCCATGTTCAGGCCCATTCCCCTCTCCGCACCCGGAATCACAGATCAAAAGGTCCATTTACCACGAAGCCCTCACGGCCTGGGCGGTCTTCTGCCCGATCTTGATGTCCAAGAAGCGGAACTTCACGGCGCCGCAGCGCAGGTTCCGCATCACCAAGAGCTCGGTCCTCCCGGCCGCGCGAGGATGGATCTCCACGTTCGGGGCCGAGCCATGTGCGTCCCAAACGGTTGGGGAACGACCATCGGTCTGGAAGATGAACCGGATGATGCATCTCGAATGAAAACCTTCTTGATTCAAAGGCTGGGGGGGGTTCGTGATCACACGTAAACCTACAAGCCAATCAAACGTTGTGACATCGTCCCGAAAGGGTGCTGGACTCAAATGACCCTCGTTTACAGTACATGCCCGATCGACCCGGGTGTTTTTTTCTCCGGACTTTGAAAGCTGTTGGAACACACCAGCACAATTGCCAAATTCCCAACTTCTCCAAGCTTTCCTCTGTGCTTGCTCTACCCTCTTGGGCCAATGTGGACAGTCACCGTCCAGCCCGACGCCTTCCTCCGCCCTTCCAGACTGCCGACTGCGGTCGACTGCGGTCCTCTTCTTTCCAGCGTTCGTCTCCTGAAAACAGGAGACGCGGAGGAAAGGGGTCTTAGTACCAGTGGACCACAGGGTGACCACAGGCTTGCCAAGGCTAAAGCTCGAATGTTTCATGATCGTGGAATGTTTCGTGATCTTCGTTTCAAGTCCTCGAGCTACAGTACTAAGTTGGCATTGACATCTTTCTCCAAGGACGCCCTTTCTGCTTGAAACGCCCTTTCGTTGGTGCCATGATTCGTGCTCCCAATCTTCTTCTTAGAACACCAGGTGTCCATCTTCGCTACTCAACAAGTTCAATTTGGCTGCCAAGCTATCAACCATTTCTGGCAACCGAAACCCAAACGGCTGGACAGATCGATCGGAACTGCCTCGGTGTGAGTGAGGACGCCCGCATATTCCAGAGTATAGCCCAGCAGTGGCCCCAGACCTCCAGGGTCTTTTTTTCCACTTCCATGTTTCTTGGAGGGTGCGGTACATCCGGTACATGCGGTACATCCAGTGTATTCTCGGCTTGGCCCAGGATGTCGTCCTGAACATCCGAAGATACCGGGAATGTCCCGGGCTGAAGAGTCGAGCGACCGCCCAACCCTTTGTGGATCCTCCATTCACCAGTCAGTGATCCGGTTCGTGATCTTTCGTGTCGCATGACCGAAAAAAACACGTGTTGGAGATCGGAGACCGCGAAAGACCTACCACTGGTGGAGCGGTGCTTATTTTTGATGATCGCCTTCTCATTGATTTACTAAACTGCGGTTCAGACACTTGTGTTTCTGTTTGTATCTTTTTCTTAGGTAACTACCCACGATTCATCACCACACATTGTGCCTCTCACTAGCGACACGCAGCATTCACACATCGCAAACCACATAGCACAGCGACATCCCTTTCGAAATCTTTAGTTGTTAGTCTGATGGACAGTCTTTCACCACTATGTTGAAAGGATGTCGTCGGATTTCGGAAGACGGAAGTGCTTTTTTCCATTGTTTCATACCACGTTTCATCGGTCGGATTGTTTCAGTTCCCATGGTTCGTTTGAAGGGCCACTTCTCTTCGGTGAAGCTCGGAGTGGCCCAGGTGTCCGGGGACCCCCAAGACGAACAATCACCAAAAGGACCGAGACGAGTCTTCTTATTTTTTGGAGGATGATGGGGTGGTTTTCGTGTTTTTTTTTTTTTTTTCGGAGAAAGGAAGGGCTGCGGGAAGGGATGATCTCCAAGGCAGTTTCCGTTGGTGGCCGATTCGATGGCTCGCGAAGGTTCGACCTGCTGCACCACGCTGGCGCTGAAGTTGCAAGGCTTCCTCATAGAAGTTGACCTCATCCTCTGCATGGCTGAGGTCCTGAGGCAGCCAAAAAGTCGTCCAGTGGAGTTCAGTTGTCCAGGCCTCTTTGGGGCAGGAAAACTTCAGAAAAATGATCAAAACTGAGCTATATAGCTCCTATTCTGTGGGTTGGAGAATGATCTGCTCGTTCCCAGCAAAAAGTGCCTTCAATTGGCACACTCAAAAGAGCACACCCCTGTGGCCCACCATCCTGACAGTCAGCCTCGCTGGTAGCCACTGACCCCTGAATTAAGATTGAAAAAGCCGAACCAAACTGATCCCTTGATCAATGGAACAAAACCTTGGTTTTTGATCGGAGTTTTTGTTTTTGGAATGGAACCTTGCCTCGCACACCCAATGAAACTCGGGGTGGCTGGAGAGATAAAACGCGCAGACTCCCACGATGGCCAAGAAGAAACAGAGATCCGGGGATCGTAGAAATGACGTCATTGACATCATTCAAGGAAACAGTATATATAGGAACTTACTCAGCGACCATCAAAACTGTATGATTGGATACGCGTACGTGGATGTGTTTCTCCTGCAATCCATGTAGGTCTGGGCAAGATGTGTTTCGTCTAGGCCACTACTTGCTTCGCAAAAAGAAGATCTATGCCTCCTCACCTAAGCGTCCTTGCTCCTAGTAGCGATGCCCTTTGTTACTAGTAGCGTCCTTGTTCCTAGTAGTAAGGCCAGGAGCGCCCCTAGATGCCTCCTCACTCAGCGCCCTTGCCACTGCAGCCGAATCTCTTTGCCAATGAAATAGTCCATCGGCCGGCTCTGCGACTTCAACCGCAGCTTGAAGAAGGCCGCGCTCCCGCCGGACACGCCCAGCCGCTCGACGGAGTCCTCCAAAGGGTCAGAAGGGTCTGCAACTCTGTTGGAACACATTCCGCCCATGTTCTGAAGCCGATGGCAGTCCTGTGAATCCGATAGCAATCTTGTGCCAATGACCATGTTGTGAAGCATATGATATTCTTGACACACAGACGACGTTGTCAACACCCTCCGAACGCCCCTAGAACCCCCAGCCCCTAGAACCCCTTTCCCCATGTGATGACCCTGACCCTGACGATGACGATGACCATGCGATGTAAAACCGCTTTGCTTGACACACCGATTGATGACGTCATCGACACCGTTGTGGTCGGTGTGGGTCCGGCGAAGAAGCCCGGCTAGGAAGCCGCTGGCTGTTCGTGGTCAATCGTTGTCGAAAGGAACAAAGGCGAAGCATCCCTGTGGCCCATCCGTGGGGAAGGAGTTTGTGTAGAATGGTGCCTTCTACCTGGTAATCCTTGTGTAGAGTTTGTGTTCTTTTCTCCATCTGCAGGGACTCGGCAGGTCTTTTCAAGGACCTCTCACAACAAATGTTCCCAAGGCTCGACCTGCTGGTACTCCCCACCTACTGGTGCTTGGATCTTCATGGATCTTCTATCTTGCTCTGGAGTCTTTTGACATCTTGAAGACCCGCCAAGGCTCAGATTCTCACGAAATTCTCTGATGTCCTCGGATCACGTCTCTGCATGTCTTTCGGGATTCCTTTGTTTCTGTCTTAAAGACTCCAACCCACCAAGCTTCTTCGCCGCGCCTCGAAGAGCTCCTCGTCCACCCGGCTGAGGCTCTCTCCGCCTGCCACCGGCCGAACGGCGGGTGGCAGCTGCACCAGCAAGGCCTGGACGAAGATGTGCCCTGTGACCTGGCGACGAAAAACGTCACCGGAAAAAAAGAACGTCCACGACTTTTTGGGGCGACCTAACAAGAACACCAAGTTGGACGCCACTCGTTTTTGGTGCCACAACGAGTTGGGCAGCTGGCAGGGTTGGTTCCGAACCAGGCGACGGTCGGAAGCCTGCAGCAGAGGACATCGAGAGATGCCGAATTTCTTCAATGCGGTGTCTCTTCTGATTTCTTGTGAGTTATGTTCTTAAATGAAGCCCCAACAACAAATCCCAGAATCGTCCGCAAATAGACATCAAACAACCAACATTCTTCATCAATCCCAGGTCCCCGCCTCTTGTTCCAGCAGGAGCTCTAAGTCAATCACCTTGGTCGCAAGTGCACCAAATGGAGTGAAAACCAGGTGCAAACCCCCAGGTCTTCTCCCCAAGTGTGGAGCAGCCTTCATCTTCAGTGACCCAAAAACGGGGTTCTGCGCACATGCTTCTTAAATGGAGAAGAAGACCATCTCAAAACCACTCCTGGATGCTCCAGGTCGGGCCTTAAGAAACTCTAGCACTGCCAGATGTGGAATCTGGCATCAACTCCCACGCAGAAAATCGGATCGATCGATCGATCGATCGGTCTAGAATCTAGAGTGGATGTCCTTTCTTTTGAAATTGCCCTTCAAATGCCATCAACTGACCCCACTTTCGCATCAAGGCTAGTCGTTTGCCAGTCGTTGGCACATCAGTCGGAAGGCTAGTCGTTTCTCACAAAAAGGGAACGCTCTGCTCACAACTTCACTCTTTCGGGTGACCCCTGACCACCACTCCCCACCCGACAACACACGCCGCCACTGCGCCCTCCTCCCCGTCACCAACCGCGCAGCCGGGCCCGTGGAGGTGCCAACGATGGGTGCCGGGGTTTGGCCCTCCAGCAGCGGCACAAACGGCTGCGCCAAGCGCTGCAGCGAGGTCGTCGCCTTGCCACAGAAGGTCGGACGTGCCAAGACATTGCCCTCCATGACCTGCGAGACGGACCGCCGACCGGCGTCCGCGCTCTGCCACGCGGAGGCCGGCCGGTGTGGTTGGGGATGAAAAGGTTCACAAGAAAAACACACCAACAACGGTGATGCCTGTTGACTGACGTGAAGTTCACTTGAGGCCGCTTGCCCCGAGCCCCTCCACTTTTTGTTCGTGCCTGGAACTCCACCTGGGCCGAACTTCCCATTTTAAATGGCTGGCCCCGGCAGGTATGCTCAAAGTGGGGATGCTTATCCTCAGCACTTCAAAAAGATCATCTCATCCGAACAAACCATGAACCACAATCAAGGCACATCCAAGTAGCTTCCGTGCATGATTTCTTCAAATCCCCAACACATTGACCGCTGATGCATGTCGCGTTGATGCATGTCGATACTATTCTTTAAAAGTATTATATATAAACTGGCAAAGCCTCTGGTTAAAACACGCGTCTTTTCTAGGTTCTGGCATCGAGTTGACAGCATCCCCCGAAACAAAGCTGAAGGAAATGGATGTCCCAGTACCAAACGAGGGGTCTCCGCCCTGAGCGCTTTGAAATCTTGCACTAGTTCAATTGGACCTCGGTTCATGCAGAACCGAAGGGTTTCTTGAAACACGACGGCACAGGACCTCCACAAGGCTTTACAAGCTGAACGTTCCCAGGTGTCCAAGGCTCTGCATTCCAATCGATCCGTGTTCGAGCGATCTCTTTGCGAGCACCCGTCTCAACCAACTCCACCACGGTGTAGGGATCCATCTTGCCGTACGCATCAAAGCTCCTCTCTCCATCGCTCGGCGTCCGACCGACCAGCAACGTCCAAGTCCGGGAGATGTTCGACCGCCACCGGTGCCCGGTGCCATGCGCGCCGAATGCACCGAATCGCTCCTTCCTTGTAGCGCCGATGCCGATGCCGACATGTTGAGGTGGATAACATCCGCACCTGGACTTAAGACATCTTAAGACATCTTGGGACCCTTTAGAAGAGCGTGGTTCCATTGGCTCCCAATTCTGCTGGTACCTACCCCTGCCTGGTTTTTGAGGTGTCTTGTTTTAACCCGCTTGGGTTGGGAGTTTGAGGAGTGTAGATACCAACAAAGACTTCGTTACCATTGCTAAGTTCAAAGTCCCAAACTCCCCACTTCGCGGCTTTACGGCCCTCACCGCCAGTTTCACGTCCCGAAAAACACGTCGCCCCTTCCGTCCTCAGCAAATCCGCGCGCAAGACCTTCAACACCAAAAAGCATTCCTTGGAGCCCACCCTGTCGAGCCCGGCACTCCCAGCACCGACGCCAGTGTTTTCGGGTGTCTTTGCAGACTGGCTGCGATCGAAAAAGGAACCACGAAGCCCCTAACAAATCACCTGAAGATTTGGCAGTGTGATCTCCACCCACCAACTTTGTATTAGCATTGAGTACTAGCACCGGCGGTATTAGTGAAGTTCCTAAAATATGTTCCTAAGGAGCAACTCTAGCTGACCCATGCATGCTACAAAATATGCGTTCTATGCCATGCAGATTGTTGCAACTGCACGCAACGGCTAAGTTTACACCACCGAAACAGACAAGTGAATACAATATTTGATTCGTTCATAGAGAACCCTCCTCCTGAAGCATACGTATGGTCTTCGCAGGAATTGGGTAGGTTCTTCGATTCAACCAGCTCAAAGAGGGGTCCTCGAGGTTTTGAGTATAGATATATATATATATACATATGTTTTTTCTCGTGTCTTTTACACCTGCAATCTCTCTAGCCTTTTTGGCTGTTGAAAAGCGTCGGCAACGTTTGTTGCTCGGCTTGGTGACCACCACACTTCTTCTGGAGGGATTTGCTCGCCGCAAAACCGTCACCCTGATGGATTGCATGTGACTGGCACACCAAGCATGCCACCTTTCCGCCCTTTCGCCACAGTGAATGGCTGGGGTGTCCTTTCCAGCCTACCTGTGGTTCCCACACCTGGTTCCAGCAAGTGGACATTGCTAGATTGGTGAGCTTGTCTTGGGCTGAGTTTCGCAAAGTTCTCCCATTGCAACTGGTGCAAACCACATAGTGAGTCTGCAAAACAAACTTGTGGTTAGCCATGCCAGGTAGTTCCCCGGCAAGCATTTGTTGGATCAGCGTGGCTTTGGAGTGTTTGTTGTCTCCACCCTTCACTACCACCTCAATTGCTGCCTGACAATCTTCTTCATGGATCTGTTGAAGCACAGCGTACTTGAGGTGTTTGGTGACGCGCTTCTGACACTTGAGACATTGCAAACCCCTTTGCCTCTCTTGCCACTGATGCTTCTGAGGTCCGGACTGGTTGCCAATGTCAAGGAACAATTTCGACTTTCGTTCTTGAGCAAGTCGACGAGTTTCCTTGCCTTGTTGCCGAGCCTGGTGCAAGAAGTGGTCAGGGCTTTCCATGAGATGTCTGATCCTCTTGATTGCCAAGTGAGCAATCTTGACATACCTCTTGTCGGTGACCTTCAGCTCGGCTTCAAGCTCTTCAGGTCTCAAGGAGAGAGCTATTTCCTTGGCAACCTTGTTTGCATCCCTCATTCTGGCCTGGACTGTGAAAGGCCCAGGCGGCATGTCATTGACCTGCTTTCTTGTCAAACTGAGAGGTCGAATCCTGCTTCTTTGATCCGGTGTCACCAGACTGTTGAGGTCGTAGAAGCGCTCTTGGTGCTTCCCATTGACCCATGCCTCCCATGCTCTGATGGAGAGCACCTGCACTTTCACCTGCAGTTGCAGGTCAACATAGTGCGCTATCATCCTCAATCCATAGAACCAAGCTCTGTCCAGGGACTGGCGCCCCGGCAACACCGTTGTCACCGCTCCCTTTCGAAACAGTTGGCCATTGAAAGCCGTGTGGTGTACAATGGCCACCACATAGTGTTTGAGACGAGGGTCAGCGCTTGTCAAGCCGAACCCTATGGTGACCACTTCATGGCCAACCAGCTTGACCTCATCATGAATGGTCCAAGAGCCCCAGCTTTGGACCGCCGCACCACCAGTGGACAGCTCGTAGCGTGGCATCTGCATCAGGCCTTGTGACCAGAACTCCAAATTCAAGCCCTGCTCAATTTCCTTCTTGTCCTCGATGTCCATGGGCGCAAATGCACCAAAGAAGGTGAATCATCGTGGCCGCTTGGTGACAGTGCGGGCACATCAACTGGGTGTTCTCATCGCGATCTGCACTTTTTGTGAAAATGGAGCCCTGATGCCAAGTTTGGAGTGCCACATTCTGACTTCTAGTCAGCTGGCGCGAGAGCCTTCTCCACGGAAGCCAATCCAATGGCTGCTGCAGTTCTTGTAGCATCTGCTTTTGATTGAGCTTCATGACCGTCTCCCATTTGTGTGCACGTTCCAGCTCTTGTTTGAGAAAGAACCAATCTGCACGCATGCTCAACTTAAACTCTGGTTCCCCATTTGGGCTTGGCTTTGTCCACTCATCCGGCTTGTCAATATTCCAGCCTCTCTCAAGGAGGTAGCATTGCAAGGCACCGACAGGGCCTTTGGCGTGCTGCCAAGGATACTTCACCTCTGTGAGTTTTGCCCTCTGGACATGCCAAGCTTTGGCAAGATCTTTGGCCAAGGTTTCAGGCCAGTTTCCATAGAAACGACGGTAGAGCCTCACCTGGTCTGCAAAGGCACCAAAATCTGGGTCTCGGTGTCTAGGATGCATGCTGAAGACAATGTCAATGCTTCCCGTACGATGGCACCCCATCTGACGCGCCATGGTAGCACGGATGCGTCGTCGGACTTGTGGAGCCAGACCCATGGCCTCATGGCCCCAGTTTATGCCAGCAAGAATGCTGCTCTTGTACAATTTGAAGCGAATAGCCCTGTTGGGGATCTTCAAACTGGTCATCTTGACCGTCTTCCTGCCAGCTTTCTTGCGCCGGGACCGCATTGTTTGGATGCGTCTGAGGCGCCCTGCTGCGCAGTCTATGCCCAAATCCCTCATCACATCATGAACCTTAGGTCCTCCTTCTGTGAGCTGCTGCTGCAAAATGCGCTTGGCCGTGGCATTAGAGACAATGAATCCAGTCTTTTGTGGGGAGACTTTCAAATTGTCCTTCTCCAATTCAGTTTTGACAAATTCATAAGCCGCGATGGCTATCCGGGCTGCATTCTGCGGGTTTCTGTCAACAACATCAAAACTGAAGTCATCTATCCAAAGGTCCGAATGTAGCTGAGGGTATTTTTTGTGGAACTCTCTGAGTGCTCTCTGCAAATAGACCTTGGCTGCAAGAGGTGCTTGAGGATCTCCAGCCAGGATGCCATGGGTAGCCCACAGCGGTTGGGATGCCTCCCCTTCAGCTTCCAGGATTCGTTGGCCGCTGTAGACCTGGATAGCCAGCGCTGCATGAGTTGCAGGGTAGGAAGAATCCAGCCATCGTTCCGTGAGTTTCACGAGGTCAATTCTGTCATAGAAATTTGACATGTCCAGCAAAACTGAGATCACCGTCCTGTTGTGTGCTGCATGGTGCTCGGTCATGAAAGCCCTCTTCAAGGCCACCTGCAGGCATTCTGTGCCTGGCACTGCTCGCTCCCATGGATACTCATCTTGGATGTTTCTGGACCATGATTTGGTTTGTTCACTGCGGACCCGACACCAAAGTCGATACAGCGTGGCAACTAAGGCGATGGGGCGTTCGATGACACTTGATTTTGGAATCAGCGCAATGAGCGCTGTCCCCCATTGGCTCGGGATCATGGCCTGTGTTTCAATGCTGTGAAAAAGCTCACGGAGATCTTTCATCGCAGCAAAAGGAAGGGCCTTCAACATGTCAAAACCAATGCCATCTAAGCCTGCCGCCTTGACACTGAGCGACTTGATCGTTTTCCATATGTGCCCTTCTGAAAGGAAAGGTAACTGTGAAGCTGCCTGTTGACCTTTGTTGATCAGTGCCTCCAAGTTTGCGATCAGCACCGGCCGGTCTTGAATTTGCCAAATCTCTCCCCATTGCTCAATTCTCTTGGGCATTCTCTCAAGTCTTGGCAGATGCTGGAAAG